ACAACCTGAGCTGCTGCCTCGGCTCCTGTCACTATGGTTGCTCAGTCAAAATGGCGGCCCGAGCCCGTGACGTTGAGACCGCCCCCTCCTGTGGGAGCCAATGAGAGAGGGCTTGATGGGGCAATGACGTAACGACACACCAATAAGCGTTGGCTGGGGGTGGGTGGGGGAAATCAGAGCAGACAGGCCAGCCGGAACGCGGCTTGGGAGAGAGCAAGCCACGAGAGCCAATTAGAAGGCTGCGGGGAGCTCAGGGGCAGGGCCGCTAGGTTTGGTATTTCTGCTTCTTGAGTGGGCAGAAGCTTCCTTCGGTTTCTTCGCTTGGTCCTGGTCTGGTTTCCGAATGTCAAGCTGGAGGGCCAACATGGAAACCCTGGTGCAAAGGATTAAGCGTTGAGCGGTGTTAACGAAGGAAGTTTCAGACGTCCAGAAAGAAAAACTGGAGGACAAACTGATATTCAGCAGTTTCGGGGACTCAGTGCGAGCTTGTACCAGACTGGCTTGTATGCCTTTCGTTCTACACTTCAGTCCTTATGTAGGCATTGTAATTGTCATTTTGCTGGGCGGTGGTGGCTGCACGCCTTTATAAAATCCGAGCGCTTGGGAGACAGAGGCAGGCGGATCTCAGGGAGTTCAAGGCCAGCCTGGTCTACAAAGCGAGTTCCAGGACAGCCAGTACTGTTACACAGAAAAAACCCTGTCTCGAAAAAACAAAACCAACCAACCAACCAAAGTCATTCTGTAGAGATGTAAATCCTTGAAATTAGCAGTGCAGTCCTAGATGTATGGTAAATGTTTAGTACATATACACATACATACATACATACGTACATGCATACTGCTTGTTTTTCTAGACAGGGTTTCTCTGTGGCTTTGGAGGCTGTCCTGGAACTAGCTCTTGTAGACCAGGCTGGTGTGGAACTCACAGAGATCCCCCTTCCTCTGCCTCCCGAATGCTGGGACTAAAGGCGTGCACCATCACTGCCCGGCCATTTAGCACATATATTAAATACCTGTTTTAAGCATTATGGTAGCTCCGATGGAAAGGTATTCTGGCACTCAGGAGCCAACAACTACTGATGTTACAGCTCTGGGAGCCAAGGAATACCACAGGTCACAGTGTTGCCGCTTACAGCTCTGCTCAGACAAGGGAGGGCTTCAGCAGCCAAGTTGTTATAGTTTGGCTCCAGTCCCCCAGAGTATAACAACTCCACCTCACTAGGGGAAGGTTTCCCTCAGCAAAAGTGTTAACAGCCCTGCTCTGCTCCTCTGTGCCCAGGCTGTCTCGGGTAGAAAGTTATTTCTCTTTTCCATTCAGGCAAAGAAAGGTCTCACCCAAACCTCACTTGAGACTCATTGGGAGGGAAGAACCCAGGAGAGTGGCTGCCTCTGCCAGGGTGGAAGAGGACAGCCAGACAGCCACAAGTTGAACAGGCACAGGGTTTATATAGGACTTCTTAGGGGCAGAGTTTTTCCAAGGGAAGAGATTTCCAGGGTGGGGAATGGTCAGATTTCAATCCCTGAGCTCAGATTGGCTAGATTTCGTGCTCAGGGGTTTCAGGACCAAAGTGTGTTTCTTTCACTGGTCCTTTTTAGCCCTTTGACTCTAATTTTAGGACCAGGGTGTATTTCTTTCATTGACTCCAATTCTAGGGCCAAAGTGTGTTTCTTTGGCACTAGTTTCAGGGTCAGGGTGCATTTGGCTCTTGTTGAAGGGCCAAGTGTGTTTCTTTGGCTCTGCTCAGGGTATGTTTGTTTTGGCTGGTCCTTTTCCTCTACACCTGACCTGTTAATGCAAACAGAATCATAGTTCAACAACAGTTCTTAACCTGTGTGGTGGTTCTTGTCTGTAATACCCACACAAAGGACGCTGAAGCAGGAGGATCTCCTGAGTTTGAGGCTAACTTAGGCTACACAGTGTGACCTGGTCTCAAAAACCAAAAGCAACCAAAGAAATAGAATAGTTCTTGAGCATCTGTCATTATTTTATAGGAATACATACAAAAGGCAGCCCCTGCCCTACAAAGCATTTTAATTCTCAGGATCAAGTCTTCAAAGAGTATTCGTAAAAAAGTATTACATATTTATATTTTGAATAACTGATCTAACTGTAGGGTGAATAGGGCCAAGGAAAAACACCCTGACTTGGGAAACAAGGATTGAAATTCCACCAATCTCTGAGGTCTCTCAGCACAAAACTCCACCAATCCCTGAGCACAAAACCCCAGCAATCCCAAGCCACCCTGGAAAGCTCCACTGCTGTCCAAGGAACTCTATATAAAGCTCTGTGCCCAGTTCAGTTTGCTGCTGCCATCATTGTAGGCAGCCACCCTCCTGGTGACTCTATTGAATGAGGTTTGGGTGATGACCTCCTTTTGTAGGAGTGGAGTGAAGCACAAAATTAACAACTTTCCCCAGAGCTCAAGGAAGTCCAAGCAGAGCAGAGCTATAACTTCGCTGGGGAAGCCCTCCCCTGCTGGAGCAGAGTTGTTACACTCGGTAAACATTTGCCTCCAGCAGGGCTGCTACTCTTAGGGTGATTTTGTCGTATTCCTTGGCTCCCAACTAAGAGTGTACCACTAACAGCTGGGCATAAGACCACACTTGTGATTCTAGCACTTGTGAGGCATAGGCAAGGAGATCAGGGGTTCAAGGCCATCTTTGGCTACATAGTGAATCCAAAGCCATATGGAGACCCTGCCACAAAGCAGAAAACAAACAAATAAAAACAAGGAATAATGGCTACAGGCACTGTCTAGATAGTAAAAACCCACTGTTCTCTTGTTGTATACTAAATTTCCAAAATCAGAGCCTATACAATAACAACACTGCCAGCTTCACTTTTTCTTTTTTTTCCTTTCCTCCCTCCTTGCCCCCAGACAGGGTTTCTCTGTGTAGCTCTGGCTGTACTTGAACTCACTCTGAATACCAACCTGGCCTTAAACTCAGAGATCCACCTGCCTCTGCCTCCTGAGTGCTGGGATTAAAGACCTGTGCCACCATAGCCCAGGCCCACTTTTTCTTTTTCTGAAACTGGATCTCACTGTGTAGCTCTGACTGGCTTTAACTCGATATGTAGACAGGCTAGACTGGCTTTGAACCCCTAGAGAGCTGGGGTTAAAGGCATGCCACAACAAATTGTTTTTTGGTAACTTCTTGTGACAGATAGGCTTGGGAGCTACCTGTTCATTTGTCATAGCATTAGGTTTATTTCTCTGAGAAACACTGGAAAACACAGATTATTACTATACAAGGCAAAGTCTGATAAGCATAATAGAAATGTTTATAAAGCTCTGTAGGAATTTTAAAAAGTGTTCCTGACAAAGATCACTTAGAAACAACAGGACAAATCAGTGAAATGCTTTCTTAATTGAATCTTCAGCAGGGTTAATTTGTTGGTGATGAATACAAATGTTCAGAAATTTAGGTTGAAAGACACTAGAGAGGGGCAGTCTAGCCCCAGTCTACTGCCATCATCAGGTGAGAGACCTAGAAACGTGGTGGTTAAGAGCAAAACAGAGCTGTGCTTACACAGGCCAGTGGTAGAGCACTAGCCTAGCATGCTGAAGCCCTAATCTCAGTACTGCATGGGGTGGGGGTACAGAGAAGAGGAGAAAGAGAGAAATTAAGGAAAACAAAACAAAACGAAAAAACCCAACAAAACTAAACCTTAATCAGCAGTACATGAGAAGCTGGACCTGGTATAGGAGGCCTCTAAGGTCAGAAACTCAGGAGGCTCAAACAGGAGAATTACAAATCCAAGGCCAGCCTGGGAAACTTAGGCCCTGTCTTTAAAAACATTTTGAAAAGAGAAATAATAATGGGGAGAAGCCTGGAGTTAAGAGTGTTGGTATTTCTTGCAGAGGACACAGGTTTGGTTCTCTACACCTACAAGATGTACAACCATCTGGGACTCCAGTTCCTGGGGATCTGAGGCCCTCTTCTGGTCTCCACTGGAATTACATCAATGTGGTACACATGCAGACAAAACATTCACACACAGGGTTTCTCTGTGTAGCCCTGGCTGCCCTGGAACTCGCTTTGTAGAACAGGCTGGCCTTGAACTCAGAGATCAGCCTTTTGGGATTTAAGGCTTGAGCCACGACTGCCCAGCCAAAATAAAAGACTTTAAGATAATAAAGAGGGTCTGGGAGTCAACGGCCACATGTGTGAGTGTGCATGTGTGTGATTTATTACTTTAGAGGTAGATTGAATACAGGGGTGAGGAAGCTATGTTTCTCCAATTGACTATTTGTACAAGCAGTAAGTTAAAAAACAAGGAACCAGGACTAGAGAAATGGCTCAGCAGATAAAGGCACTTGCGGCCAAACCTGATGACAGGAATTCAATCCCAGGGACTCATAAGGTATTAAGAGGAGAATTGGTTCCCACGTGGTGGTGGTGGTGGTGCTGCTGCTGCTTCTTCCTCCTCCTCCTCCTCCTCCTCCTTCTCCTCTCTTCATTTCTTCTTTTTTTCCCAAGACAGGGTTTCTCTGCATAGCCTTGGCTGTCATGGAACTCATTCTGTAGACCAGGTTGGCCTCAGACTCAGAGATCCACCCACCTCTGCCTCCTGAGTGCTGGGACTAAAGGCGTGTGCCATCACTGCCCGGCCCACATGCTTCATTTTACACAGCAAAGTATAGCCACTCTAAATACATTTCTTCCTGTTCCTTGTGCTGTAGACATTCTAAGGGAGGGAAGAACAATAAGCCAATCATAGGCACAGTTACATTTTTATAAGCTAATGGTTACAGCTGGTTGGTCTATTAGCTATCAAGTGCATTGTTAGGTTCATCTCTTAGATAAACTCGTGTCATCTGAAATGTATTCACAGAAGTCATTCCTATTCTCCTCAATGGTAATATGGTATTACTGAGAAACTTACTTTGATTGAGATGGAGACCCTACTGGGATGTTAGCTGGAGCCCAGGTCAGCACTGCTGTGCCCTGTCAATACATATCACAATTAATCAAGTTATAAACAATGTACAGAGAGACCAGAGGCACAACTACTGATCTTTATTGTACAGAAATGTGACAGCAATTATACACTAAATGAGTGTTTGGCAGTGAACATTACACAGATTTGAAGTGAAGACATCCTCATTTTATGGACATATAAAAATAAACACTGAGAGTTGCAAGAAAGAACTCAACTTCTATTCCCCTAATCGAGCGAAGCTTTCCACAGGAAAACCTGGTTTCAATTCATGCCGAATTTTTCCAATGGGAAGACAAGCTAAGCCGCTAGATAGCACATGGGCTGGCTTTTGTACTTCTAGAGAGCCAGGCTAAGGCTCTACTTGCTTCTCAAATTACAACTTATCTAAGAGACATATGAAATGAAAACAATAATGATGAATTGGAGAGTGTCCATGGATCTAGGTAGGTTCAGGGGAGTGGATAAAGTTAGAGCAATTTACTTTTGATGAGCAGGATTTGGTATGAGTTCAAGTCATCTCTATTGGCTGTCTGGCAGCTTGTTTCTCCCCAGTAGTCAACAAGGTACTTAGAATCAGCACAAGCAGTGCTGGCCTCTTCAGAGCCCCTAAACATAGGCTTGTATCAGCTGCCATTGACACTCTAAAACCCATCTAAATAGGATCTCTTCTATCAAAGTCTCTCTTCACCCTCACTACTAAAGCAAAAACATTTAAAGAGATTTGGCCAGAATGATGGTTGTGTTGAAAGAAGACACAATTTGGAGGGTATCTGTAGACTAAATATAAACAGAATTATTGTCAAAGCCCTTAAATAGTGAGAATTTATCAATTTATATATGAAATAAAAATGGAGATTATGAAGATAGGGAGTTTGGCTACAATTCCCTTAATTTAATCAGAGTAGAGACGTTTGAAGTAGTCTGGAGCAAACAAGACAGTCACATGATAAAGGCTGAAAATTCTTTAATTTTTGAGTGAGAGATAGTCTCATACAGCCCTGGCTAGCCTTGAACTTACTAATCTAGCTGGATTGACCTTCAGCTCCAGATCCTTCTGCCACGATCTCCCAAGTGCTAGGATGACAGGTATGTCCCCCAACATCTGGCTTCAAAGATGTGAATTTTGTTGCTTCCCTTTACAAGTTCTAATGCTGCTGTATAAAGGAGGTGATTGAGGCACATTGCTCTTTAAATTCAAACTTTGTCTTAATGATTGTGAAAGCAGGATAGTGCTAAAATGGAGTGTGGAATATATTTCTGCTTCTACAACTATGGGATTCAGGTCATCAAACTTGGAGTGTTTTCATTAGATAAGGATAAAAAAAAAATCACAGGCAGGACATACAATCTCAGGGACCATTTACTCCAAAGATTAGCCTTTTTCTACTGCCCTTCATTCAAAGAGACAGTGATGTGTCGTTAAGCAACATTGTTTAGCAGAGTCAGAGAGAATCAGGGAGAAAAATAAATGAATATACTGTTTGCTCTTCATCTTCACATTTTGTTGCTATAAAACTCTAACCTCCTCATAGATACTCCTATTGATCCAAGAGCACACTGAAACTAAACCCAGAAACAGGAGATGCTTATTGAATGTGCATGGGCTAACCCCTTTTCATTCGGGTATGGAATGGAAGTATGAGGAGAAATAGTCTGCTTAGAATGGTCATGGCCCATGAAGAGGCCCTGAGGTTGTCCTTCCCAAGTTATGAGTCTGATTCAAAAAAGAGGAAAAAATGATGACAATATCTCATTAGACAAAACTCAGTGATGGGGTCTCTGACAGTCACCAGCCTGCAGGGGAAAGGAGGAACCCGCCTGCTAGCTTTAGGATTTGTTGAAGGCTGCCAGCACAGCCCAGATCATCTCTGTGGCATTGTGCTTTGTCCCTTCTACTTCAGGGTCCAGTTCTACTAGGTCCTTGGTTCGATTCATTGCCACATCATACTTGTCATCTGTCAGACAGGAGAAGACATTCTCTAGCACATCGGAGGAGTGGGCCAGCACCAGGAGTGCCAGTGTTCGCCTGTCCATGCGCTGAGGGTCATTTACCCACCGTTCTAGCACACTGTCTTGAAGCTTTTTCACTAGTCGCTGTTTCTCTGTTGTATTGGTCACTGGATGAGTGGTCATATCGAATAGCAGGAAATTCTGCTTTTCTGTGGTTAGAATACCCTTCTCTACTAGATTCTTGGCAATTCGCTCTCGCACATTTCTCAGCTGGTATTGTAATTTGAAGGGGTTCCATGTCTCACCTTTGGTAAACAGAGGAAAACAAATAGTCAGTTTTTTATTTGAACCTTGTTTAAAAGCATGATCTCCATCCATAGGGGAACAAGGTCAATTCTTTTTTAAACCATTCTTTGTGCTTTATGTGTTGGTTTTGACTCCAACTATATTTTACATTAAACAACCCTCAAAAATTGTTCTCACACATACATGAATGCACACAGGCACACACACACATACACATATACATATGCACAGACACACATATCTGCATGCACACACACACGTGTACTGACATGTGCACACATATCACCATGGGTTTCCATGCTAGTGCTCAAGGAGTAAATTTTTTTATACTTATTTATGATTTAGCATGCATGAAAGCATGTGTGCTATGGTACTAGTTTCTCTCCTCCCACCTTGTAGCTTCTAGGGATCAAACTCAGGTTGTGAAGCTTGGCAGCAAGTACTTTCGCTTGATAAAACAGTCTTCCAGATTTTTTATATTTGTCATTAAAAATTTTTTTGTTGTTGGGTGGTGTTGGTGCACTCCTTTAATCCCAGCACTTGGGAGGCAGTTTTTCTTTGCAGATGTCTGAGGTGGAGTGAGTTCTGGGACAGTCAGGACTGTTTCACAGAGAAACCCTGTGTCCAAAAACAAAACTTTTTTTTTAAATTATTTGTATTTATGTATGTTTGCAGGTGTTCACAGAAGCCAAAAGAGGGTGTTGAATATCCTGAAGCTGGAATTACAGGTTGTTGTGAGTCACCAGACACAGATGTAGGGTGAGGTCTTCTGGACAAGCAGAAAAGCACTCCTAACAATTGAGCTATCTTTCTGGCCCCTTATTTCAGTTCATATTTGGTTTCTCTGTTATGATGTTCATCATTATTGGATTTGTGTGTGTGTGTGTGTGTGTGTGTGTGTGTGAGAGAGAGAGAGAGAGAGAGAGAGAGAGAGAGAGAGAGAGACAGAGAGAGAGACAGAGAGAGAGACACAGAGAGAGAACATGGATCAGAGAATAGCCTCAGGTGTCATTCAGCCCTACCTTCCCCCCTTTTTTAGACAGGGTCTCTCATGTACCTACAGCTTGTTTCAGTAGACTGGCTGGTGGGCCATCAAGCTAGCCTCCTCACTTGGATCATAAATGCAGACATTTGGCCTAGATTATTCTCCTCTCTCCCTCCCTCCCCCCACCCCCTGGTTCTGAGGACCAAACTCATGTCCTTATACTTGCAATACAAGCTATTTACCGATTGGGCTCTCTCCAGCCCTTATTCTTTTATTTTTTTGCCATTCTCTTCAAGACTCCAGTCTTTCTGGGATGACTTCTCTTCCATATCAAATGTGTTCTAGTTGGGTTGGTAAAACTGAAAAGACTGTGCTTGCTTCAGCAGCACACATACTAAAATTGGAATGATACAGAGAAGATTAGCATGGCCTCTGAGCAAGAGTGACATGCAAATTCATGAAGCATTCCATATTTAAAAATAACATATAATTTATATGTTATAAAAATAACACATAAGGGGACTAAAGTCCCCTTCTTCTACTTATCAGGTGGAAGGCCTATCCAGGCGTGGTGGGCTGGCAATACTGGGGCTCAAATTGTCCCATTCTAACTTCTTTGAAGAATAGAGGTCTTAGACTAGAAAAGGAGAGCCAAGAGGATGAGAGGCTGCCACTCCTCCACTACAAACACAGTAAGAGGGTATCACACTAGGAGAAGTGGACTAAAAGCCTGAAGGAAGGGTTCCACAGCTGTACCTGAGAAGTCCATTTGATCAAGTATAGAAAATCCTAAATCTAAAGGTATTACTGAAAACCATGGGCATCTTGGTGCAAAACAACTGCCAGGATACTGAGAGCAAATATCAACTGGCAAAACCTCCTAGAATTTAACAGTAACCAGAGGAAAATGCAGGAAAACCCTGCTGGCATCATGGTCAGCCCTGGTGGGTGCAAGGGTGTGTGCTTGTACTAGATGCACACACTCAGGAGCAATTGGAACAGAATTTGGGACTTGATTAGATGATGTCACTGACCCCAGGGGTTTAAGCAAAACCTCTGACAGAACACATAACAGTAACCAATATACTCCCAGAGACAGCATCTCAGCATATACCTGGTAGCTTTGATTTCCTTATGTAGCTCAAGCTGACCTCAAACTAGTGATTCTCCTGACTCAGCTTCTCAAGTGTTAGGAGTACAGGTGTGCATTCCCATGCCTAGATAATAGGTTGCTATAACTCTAAGAAGCTAGGTTTAAAATCTAATCATGCATCTCTGGTAGACTCTTCCTGGTTCTCCTGGAATGCTGGTTTTCTATATTGCAGAAGCTCTGTTTGACCTGGTAAAGCTGAGAAGACTGATGTTTGCCTCCGTTGCTTAAAGGACAGAAGCTGGATTCCCAGTGTGGTAGGCTAGCAACACTGGGAACCTAATTGTCCCATTCTAACATTGAGGAGAAGTTCTGCACCAGAAGGGGCAAGCTGTGTTCATAATCAAGACTTCCCCAGAAGAAAACAGAAAAGAAAACAGAAAAGGAATTCCCAAGCTACTAACCCATATTCTTATATAGGTAGGTAAAAAGGTAAACTTTCTGAATTGTGATACCTTTGTTAAAATCATGTATCACACATATTCAACAGTAAAAAGGTAAAAAAAAATCTAATTAGTGGGGTTGGAGTCCAGCTCAGAAGCTTAGCATGTGTGAGGCCTTAAAATGAATCCCCAGCACCAAAGAAAGAACAATAACATTTAAATGGGACAGAAATGTGGCCCTATGCCAGAAATCCCAGCACTCGGGAGGCAGAGCAGGAACATGAAGACTTCAGGGTCATCTTCAGCTATACATATTGCCTAGGCAATATGAGACCTTGTATCAGTAAACAACAATTAAATAACAATGAAACATCAAAAAAATAGAGAAGACTTGCTGCTCTTCCAGAGGACTTGGGTTTGGCTCCCATCACCCACAATGGCAGTTCACAACTGTCTGAAACTTCAGTTCTAGGGAATCTGATACCCTTTTTTCACTTCCACAGGCTCTGAACACATGTAATACAGTAATATACAAATAGGCAAACACTCATACACATTAAAAGAAAAAAAACAACAACAACATGTAACTGTCTAAAAGGGATGCAACAGTTACTCTTCATTGCTGACTTGACTTAGAATCCCAGGAGAGGGCTGGCCAGAAGGTACAGCAGGTAAAAAGTGCTTGCTAGTGACCTGAGGCTGATCCCTCCTTGGGTGGAAGGAGAGAATCAACTCCTGAAAGCTGTCCTCTCACCTCCTCATGGGTACAGTGGCATGTTAGCATGTGCATACACACCTTTGAGATGGCTCAGTAGGTCAAGGTGCTTGCTGCCAAGATTGACAATCTATGGACTCTGACCTGAATGGTGGAAGAAAACTGACTCCTATAAGTTGCCTCTGACCTGTGCACACCCCACACACCAACTATATAAATAAAAATTTAGTAATAATAAAAAGGAATTGCCTAGAAGGCACACCTCTGGTATGTCTGTAAGGTTTAGCTGAGAAGGAGAGACCCAATCTAGACATTGGATGTGTACCTAGACTAAGTAGAAGGAGACGAAGGAAAGCCTTTTGAGCACCAACATTCATCCCTCTGCTTCCTGCCTCCCACTTCCAATGCTATGTCTCCCCTCCTAGGACAGACAGTAGCATACTCTCAAAACTTGCACCAAATTTAATTCTCTTCATTCATTTTTTTTTTCCCCCCCGAGACAGGGTTTCTTTGCATGGCTTTGGAGGTTGTCTTGGAACTCCCTCTGCTGACCAGGCTGGCCTCCAACTCACAGAGATCTGCCTGCCTCTGCCTCCTGAGTGCTGGAACTAAAGACGTGTGCCACCAATGCCTGGCCTAATTCTCTTCTCTTAAATTACTTCTTGCCATGTATTTGGCAAAACCTTTGACTAAGAAGTGGCTTATTCTAATTCTTAAGACTTAAAGTTAAGACTAAATATGAGAGACAGAGAGAACACTGAAGACATGCTTTATTTAGTGGTTAGGAATACACATAGCTCTTACAGAGGATCCAGCACCTATGTCAAACATGACTGCCTATAATGACAGCTACTATGGGGTGGAGGAGTCTTATACTCTCTTATGGCCTTTGCAGGCATCGGCAGTCATATGAATGTTTCCACATATAGACACAGACTCTTAATTAAAATAAAAATTAGAAAAAAATTTCAACAGTGATCAGAAACTATATAACTATACAGAAATTGTGGAGTTTGAGAGAAAAAAAAAAGCAAAATAAAAAATTTACTTAACAGCCGGGCGTTGGTGGCGCACGCCTTTAATCCCAGCGCTCGGGAGGCAGAGGCAGGTGTTCGAGCCAGCCTGGTCTCCAGAGCGAGTACCACGATAGGCCCCAAAGCTACACAGAGAAACCCTGTCTTGAAAAACAAACAAAACAAAAATGTACTTAACCAGTCACAAACTTGAGCTAGGGAAAGAATCAGCAATCTTTGAGACAGTAGGGATTATGCAGTTTGAGCTAGGCACTGTGAATCTTTGAGACAGTAGGGATTATGCAGTTTGAGCTAGTCTGAGGCCATCCAAGGCTATGTGAAATCTGTTTAACAATACAAAATGAGATTATGTAGTCTAAAGAGAGCCTCCAAGAAATGTGAGGTACCCTGAGGACAGACACATGTGTAAAAAGTACAGAAAGAGATGACGGGAAAGAAAGGGAGAGAAAAAAAAAGGCAATCCTATATTTCATGAAAAACATCTGCCTACACATTTTGAGCTCAATGAACTCCACATAGGATACATGTAGAGAGAAAGGAAAAATATGTAATCTAACGCTAGGTACTAAGAGGCAGTCTTGGAAGGTGGCCTGAGAAAATGACTTTCACAACAGAGCTGCATTGAGATCAACAGCAACTTAAAGTAAGAAGAAATGGAGTCCACAGAAGTAAAATGATTAGCTCAAAGCACAGACTGACAAAACTGTCCAACAAGAGCCTTCTTTTCTTTTTTTTTTTTTATTTTTAGAGACAGCATTTCTTTGTGTAGCCCTGGCTGTCCTGGAACTATCTCTATAGATCAGGCTGGCCTTGAACTCACAGAAGGTGGTCCACAAATGGGGCCATAGGCAAAGGCACTTTCCAACCAAACCTGACTACCTCAGTTCAAAAACAGGAGAACCAACTCCTCAGAGTGGTCCCCTAACCCTCACATATACACTATGGTGGTGGGGTGGGGGAGGGGCATGTACATGCATTAAAAACATAGCAAGAAAAAAATATTTTTTTGAGACAGGATTTCTCTGTGTGCTGTCCTGGAACTCACTTTGACCAAGCTGGCCTCAAACTCACAGAGATCCATCTGCCTCTGCCTCCTGAGTGTTGGGATTAAAGGCATGCACCACCATGCCCAGCTGAAAAAATTTTTAAATTGTTCACAGATGTTTACAGTAGCCTTGGTCCCAATAGCCAAAAAAGTAGAGTAACTAAAATATCCATCAGCTAAATGGCCAAACAAATGTGATACATAAATTCATAAAATATTAGTTGTAAAAACAGCTAATTCTGGGAGATTCAAGATAGAAAGATTTTATCTATGTCAATGTCCTGGTTGCCATCTCAATAAATATTATTACTATTTTGAGATAGGGTTTTACTATGAATACAAGGCTCATCTTGAACCTCTCTTCTTTAGTCTCTCAAATGGTAGGATTACCAGCATTTGCTATTATAGCTGGCTTAACTTTAAATAAAAAAAAATTAGTGTGTGTGCACGAGAATACAAGAACACACACACACTCTTGTGATCATGTACATTCCCAAAGGGGCCAGAGAAGGCATCAGATTCTTTGGAGCTAGAGTTACAGGGGTTGTAAGCGTTAGACATGGGTTCAGGAACTGAACTTGCATCCTCTTTGAGAGTAGTACTCATTCTAACCATTGAGCCATCTCTCAGGACTCCAGTTTTTACCTTAGTCTTTTATGTACATACTTTTTGGGGGAGGGTGTTGGGGATTTAGTCCCTTTTTTTGTGTGTGTTTTTAAGATAGTGTTTCCAAATGTAGCCCAGACTGACCTTGAACTATCAGTAATTCTGCCTCAGCCTCACAGGTGCTAGGATGATTACAGATGTATACCACCATTCCTGGCTAATAAAGTTTTTTTTTTTCAAGAATAATAAGCTTTAATAAATGTTTCTTTTAAAAAAGGGCTGGTGAAATAGTTTGGCAGGTAGAAACACTAATCAAAAAGTCTAACAATTTGAGCGAATACTGGTCAATCACCTAAAGGATACACACACACAGTTTCTTGAGGAGGTCTGGGGAATGAAGCTCAGCTGGTCCAGTGCTTCCCTTTCATCCTTGAAGTACTGGCTTTGATCTCTAGCACCACATGACTAGGGTGATGGTTTATGCCTATAATCCCTGCACTTGGGAGGTGAAGGCAATAGGATTAGAACTTCAAGGTCATCCTTGGCTACATAGCAAGTTTGAGGCCAATCTGGAATATGAGATGCTGTCTCAAAAAAAAAAAAAAAAAAAAAAAAGCTCCTTGCCTGGATAAAGTGGTGCACACTAAAGGTTTAGTCCTAGCACTTGGGAGGCAGAAGCAGGAGGATCTCTATTAGTTTGGGGCCTACAAGTTCTCATGCTGAGGCCCTGTTTCAAACAAACAAAAACAACAAAATCAAGTCCCATTGAAGAACACTGTTAAGCTGGATGCTATCTACCTGTAATTTCAGTAGTAGGGAGTCTGAGGCACAAGGGTTGAGAGTTCCAAGCCACCTCAGTTTATATAGTGAGACCTGTCTCAAAAAGCCCAACAAAGTAAAACTGTCAAGAGCTCTTATCGGCTGAATGTGATGGCACATGCTTGTCCCAGTGGGTGGAAGATCAGGAATTCAGGGTCATCCTTCGCTGCACAGCAAGTTGAAAGCAAGCCTGGGCTAAATGAGATCCTGTCAGAAAATAAAAAACCTTTCAGAGTAGGATTGCAGATTATAAGCTGACTCGTTTGGAAAGCTTTAGGTGCTGTTTAACCTTACCTAGCATGCTACACTTCTCTACTTTTCCTCTAACCTTACAAGCAGTCTAAGATAACCAAGGGTGGAATCTGGGTGTTATTTTCAGTCATCTCACCAGTGAGTAGCTCTATCCATGTCTGGACAGTTTCTGTTGGCTCAGTTGCTTTGATGTGTTTGAGAGTTTCATCCAGCAAAACATCACCTGTTGGGCTGTCTGACTTTAGCAGGACCTTAAAGAAAGAAACAGAAGACACTGCTTTACTCAAATGCAAATCCTTTAGTGTACAATATGCTGGTTAGGAGTGTGAGGAAGCAGAATATATGGCCCATGTCATGGAAAAGTTTAATATGTAGTATGACTTCACAGTAGGCAAAATTACATTTCAAGTGGAACCTAGTAGCAAATATATATATATTATGGACAAAAGATTTCATAGTATCTTTCTAAGTTTGGAAAACCACCTGGTAAAACCACAAATAAAGGCAGGAGAATCAGAAGTTAATTTGGGGGAACCTGTCAAGCCTGGCTTTTGACTGTGTTGGGATAGCCAAGTTGAAATGTCTAGTCAATAGTTAACATGTTCCTGGAAGCTAAAGCTAAAGAAATGTCTACAAATTTGGAAGTGAATTTCCTGGAGGTAATACAGCTGAAAAGGTGAGTGGCATTTCCAAAAGGCTAGAAAAATCACCTAACAGAATACAAACTGAGACTTAGCTATAAGGGAATAGGGAATTAAAGGAAACAGGATACAGTCAGAGAAAAAATATAATCTGAAAAAGGCCAAGAATGTCAAGTAGGGGAGTGGCAAAAAGTGTCAAAGGGTGTAGTGACACATGCCTTTGATCACAGCACTCAGGAGGCAGGAGCAGGCAGATCTGTGAGAGTTCAGGGCCAGCCTGGCCTACAAAGTGACTTTCAGGACAGCTACACAGTGAGATCCTGTCACAAACAAAAGTGCCAAATACTATATGTATTAAAAGATGGTTCTATCTAAGAATATAATAGAGTACTTGGGGGCAGGTATTGTGAGTGGAAAAGAAATGATTAAGAAATGTTTATCTAAGAGACAGCTCATCTGTTGCAGGGGATTTTCTTTTCCTTCCTTCCTTCCTTCCTTCCTTCCTTCCTTCCTTCCTCCCTTCCTTCCTCCCTTTCTTTTTGTGTTTTTGAGATAGGGTTTCTCTGTGTAGCCCTGGCTGTCCTGGAACTCACTCTGTAGACCGGGATGGCCTCAAACTCAGAGATCTGTTTGCCTCTGCCTCCCCAGTGCTGGGATTAAAAGCCTGAGCCACCACTGCCTGGGGAAGGGGATTTTCAGTAAATGTAATAGATCTGAATGATTATCAGAGAATATCTTGGGATGATTAAGACAGGCCTGACTCATGATTTCCTTAGTCTACATTATATTTTATTTCATACACAGAGAGGGAAAGATAATCAATAGCATCCTAAATGTGACTTTGTGTTGGAAAAAATACAAAACCATGCTTCTATGACTCTTTAAGGATATCTGATTCTTTTCCATATAACTAAACCAACTAGACAATAGGACAACTGAGCCAGTGTATATTATTCAAATTTTCTTTTTTTTATGTATATGAGTGTTTTGCCTGTATGTATGTACTCTGTGCACTGTATTTGGAGGCAGAGTTTTTCTTTTGTTCCAACAACATGGTTTCAAATAATCACACAATAGTTTATATTAATTACAAAATGTTTGGCTTATAGCTCAGGCTTATTACTAACTAGCTCTTACAACTTAAATTAACCCATTTCTATTCATCTACATTTTGCCGCATGGCTCATGGCTTTACTTGTCCTCTAGCTCATCTTGTTCCTTGGAGGCTAGCTCCAATCTCCCAACTCCATCCTTCTCTGTATTTTCAGTTTGGCTTTCCTGCCTAGCCTCATTCTGTCTTGCTATAGGCCAAATCAGCTTTATTATTAACCAATGAGAGTAAAACATTCACGGCACACAGAAGGATTATCCCACAGCAGTACACCACAGGTGACCAAAGCCTGTGGAGGCCATAAGAAACTAAGATTCCTGGAACTGGAGTTAGAGACAGTTGTTGGCCATCATGTGGGTTTGGGAACCAAATCCAGGTCCTCTGCAAGAACAAGAACTTTTAACTGCTGAACCATCTCTTCAGTCCTCAAATATTCTTATTCTTCTGAAATGTACTGTTGGTATTTGACTCTCCATCATTCAGAGGATATTGTACCTTTCTGTCTAGGAGTCGCTTCTTACGCATGGTGGGAGGTTCCAGATAGATTCGACCCCGCATGGCCAGCTCTATCAGGATGCCTCCTCGAAGCCCAGAGGATATACAATCATTCCAGAAAGATGTGTAGCCCTAGGAAAGGGAAAAGAAAACAAAGGATGTTCTTAAAGTAATACTGACTTCCAGTCAGTACCTTAAGAATAAGATGTAATATTTTTGTGATTACTTTCACATCACACTGCATGAACTCAAAGCAAGGTACAGAATAAGATGAGGGCATGTTGTGTTGTTTCAGCAGTGTTTAGGACAGAACATAGGGACTTATACATACTAATAAGTGCTCTACTACTGAGCCCCATCCCTTGACCACTAGAATGTTTCATTAGTCACTGAAATCTAATTTTTATTTTACACACACAGTTTATTCTACATTAGTGCCATGGTGAGCCTACAGAGGTCAGAGAACAATTTAGGAGTCAGTTCTTTCCTTCCACCATGTTGAACAATTTAACCAGTAATAATTGCCTTAATCTAAATAACCAAAATACTATTTTCTGTTGAACTTTTGAGTTTTTTTTTATTTTTTTTATTTTTTTTTTGAAACAGGGTTTCTCTGTGTAGCTTTGGATTGTGTCCTAGAACTCGCTATGTAGACCAGGCTGGCCTCACAGAGATCTGCCTGCCTCTGCTTCCCAAGTGCTGGGATTAAAGGTGTGCGCTACCATGGCCCTATTACTTTGCTATTACTTGAAAATTGGCATGTCAGATTTTGATTTCAATTGAGTTCTGGTTTGAAACAAATACTTTTCTTACATTTATTTATCTGTTTATGGTGTGAGGTAGGGTCATGCAAGAAACCTTCAGGAGCTGGTTCTCTCCTTCCACGACTTGAGTCCTGAGGATCATGTGGCTTGGTACTAAGTTGCCTTTCCACACTCAGCCATCTCCATGGCAGGAGCTTTCCTTTGGAAAGGTTTGTAAGATGCTCTGAATTGCAGAGCAGTGTATGGAAAAGGTATAAATGAAAGTATAAGCTATATCTATTGCTTGGTTGTTGTTGCTCTTCCTAGAGATCTAGGTATAACAAGTCATTAACCCATTTATATTAATCTGCATTCTATCATGTGGCGTTACCTCTCTTTCATCGTGCACCTCCTGTTTCCTCTCCACGTCTCCTGGCATCCTGTGCACCTAGATTCTCCTTCTCTTCTTTTCTCTCCCTGGAAATCTTGCCTATACCTCCTGCCTACCTATTAACTTTTTGTTACACCAATCACAGAAAATACATTTTCACACAGTATGCAAATATCCCATAACATCTAGGTATGTATGTTTTACAAACTTTCTGTGTCTCTTTTTATGTGTGTGTACTGTGACTGAACTCAGGGCTGTGTACATGCTAAGCCACATCTCCACCTGAACAAACTATTCTGATGCACAAAAGGCACAGGACAAACCCACTGATTAGTTAAGGACCTTGGGCTTGTTACTTAACCTTTCCTAAGTCCAATGTCTTTATTGGTAAAATGGGGACACTAATATCTATTTTTGTAATTTGTTATGATGTCTCAATATAATGCACTATATGAGGAAGGGCTGAGCACAGGGCCTGGACTACAAAAATACACGTTCATCTTTCCCAGGAGACACGGGGATACACCAAGAGGTAAGACAGCCACGACCTAAAGGAGCCAAGAATCTAGATGGAAACTTAAATAAAAGCTGAACTGAAAGAGATGAAGAGATAGGCTCAAACAGCTGATAAGTTTAGTTTGTATAACAGTCCTACAATTTTAAGTCAGTGTTAAGCGCACAGACATACCTCTACAGGGCCTGAGCTGGGGGACTGAAGGATAGGTTTAATTTGCACTGAGAATTTTCTGGGAGAAGAAAATCATCCAACTTCTGTTCTTAGCTATAAATATCAGATATCTCAGATATATTCAGGAGATAAAGCTCAAGGGCTTTGTTTTTGTTGTTGCTGCTGTTTATTGAGATTGCTTTTATGTAACAGAGGCTGGCTTTGAACTCCTAATCTTGTTTCCATCTCCTGGGATTATTTAACGCAAAGTTTTAAAGAAAAATCCTGAGATTCAAGATGGATAGGGTCAGGCTTTGAATTTCCAAACAAAAGGCAAATAATCATGATGGATTTAATGGAGCAGTTATGGCCAGTATCGGAAGACCTAACTATTGTAAACTGCTCAGTGTTCTGGCAAGAGGCTTATAGCAGGTTGGAGTGCTTGCTGCCTAGCCAGATGATTTCAACTCCAGCCCCACGACCCATGTGGTAGAAGAGGAACCAACTCCCAAAGGTTGTTTTTTGACTGCTGTACCTCTTATGCTAAAATAAATGTAAAAAATTTTGACTATATTTGTGTGCGTGGACATATGCATACATACACATACAATAATGCCTAAGAAGAGGATAACTCTCAGAATCACCTGTCCTCTCTATGGGAACCTGGGATCAAACTCAGACCATCAGGCTTGATAGCAAGTGCTTAATCTATTAAGCTACTTTGCTGGTCCTTATTTTAAAACTTTTAAAGCTGGGCATGGTGTCCTATAACTGTGATCCCAGAATTTAGGAATTGAAAGCAGGAAAATCAGGTATTCAAGGCCATTTCTCATCGATATAGCAGATATGAGACTAGCATGTCCCCATGTCTAAATATGTTTCAATTGCTCTACTTAGCTTTCAGGATTGAGTCTAAATGGCTTATCATAACATTCAAACCAAGGAGTTTCTTGCTAGTCTCTTCTCTAGCCTCTACTTATTTACTTTAATGTATGTTGGGTGGTGGTAGTGCCCACCTTTAGTCCCAGGACTAGGGAGGCAGAGGTAGAAGGATCTCTGTGAGTTCAAGGCCAGCCTGGTTTACAGAGCTAGTTCCAGGACAGCTAGGGCTGTTACACAGAGAAACCCTGTCTCAAAAAACAAACAAACAAAAAAGATTTATTTATGTGAAAAGCCAGGGAGTGGTAGTGCATTCCTTTAATCCCAGCACTCAGGAGGCATAGGCAGGTGAATCTCTGAATTCAAGGACTGCCTGGTCTACAGAAGTGAGTTGCAGGACAGCCAGGGCTATGTAGAGTAGCCCCCCAAAACCAATCAAAAAACAAAACAAAAAAGAAACCGGGAAGATGGCTCAGCAGTTAGAGCACTGGTAGCTCTCCCAGAGGACCCAGGTTTGATTTCCAGCACCCACATGGCAGCTCACAACTGTCTGAAACTCCAGTTTCAAGAGATCTGACATTCTCACAACAGACATATATGCGGGCAAAACACCAAATGCACATAAAACAAAAATAAATATAAACAAGCAAACAAACAACCCCCCCAAAAAAACCCAAAGATTTATTTATGTCTCTTGGTGTTTTGCTTATTTGTATGTATGTGTACTATGTGCATCCCTGGTGCTTTCAGAAGTTAGAAGAGGGAGTCAGACCTCCTGAAACTGGAGTTATGGATGATTGGGAGGTAGGTACTGAGTCCTCTGAAAAAGCAACAAGTGCTCTTAATGACTGAACCATACTTAGTTATATTTAAAATAGGGACTAATGCAGCCTAGGTTGGCCTCGAACTATGTAGCTTAAAAGTTTCTTCCTAGCGGGCGTTGGTGGCGCACGCCTTTATTCCCAGCACTCGGGAGGCAGAGGCAGGTGGATCTCTGTGAGTTCGAGGCCAGCCTGGCTGGCAGGGCAAGTGCCAGGATAAGCCCCAAAGCTACACAGAGAAACCCTGTCTAGAAAAACCAAAAAAAAAAAAACAAAGTTTCTTCCTTTGGGGAACCCCTGTGGAGGGCCCTATCCTCCATGGGGAGTGGAGGAGGAAGGAGGAGGTGAGGGGTGGGGGGGGTTGGGAGAAGAGGGAGAAGGGATTGATATATAAAATTATAATTTTGTAAAAATTAATAAAAAACAAAAAAGAAAAGAAAAAAGTTTCTTCCTAAAAAAATTAAAAAAAAAAAAAGTTTCTTCCTATGCTGGGCATGATAGCACACACCTTTAATCTCATCTACACAGAGAAATCCTGTCTCAAAAAAAAAAAAAGTTTCTTCCTGCTCCCAGGTTCAGAGGTATGTGCCACCATCCTAGCTTTATGCAGTTTATGCCGTCCTGAGGATCTAGTCAGGGCTTAATTCCTACCAACAGAGCTATAGAAAGAGACCAGCTGCTCTCGGGTCTCTCTCTTCTGGATCATTATATTTTAGCTATCACCAATTATTTTAAGTGTTTCTGTATGTATGTATGTATGTATGTATGTATGTATGTATGTATGTTGCCTACATGCATGTCTGGATACCACAGACATGCCTGATGCCCACAGAGGCCAGAAAAGAGGGTAGAACTGGATGGTTGTGAGCCACCATGTGGGTTCTGGGAATTGAACCCAGGACCTCTGGAAGAGTAGTCAGTGCTCTTAATTGCTGAGCCATCTTTCTAACCCCATGTTTTTGTTATAAATTTTTTTATAGATTTTATTTATTTATTATGTACACAACGTTCTGCTTTCATGTATATCTGCACATCAGAAGAGGGCACCAGATCTCATAATGGATGGTTGTGAGCCACCATGCGGTTGCTGGGAACTGAACTCAGGACCTCTGGAAGAGCAGTCAGTGCTCTTAACCTCTGAGCCATCTCTCCAGCCCTGTTATAAATTTTTAAATGATTTTATTTTTATTTATCAATTGACTTTTTTTTTCCCCTGAAAGGGTTGCGCTATACAGACCAGGCTAGCCTTGAACTCACTAGGTAGCTCAGATTAGCCTTGAGGCAATTCTCCTGCCTTGAAAGTGCTGGGATTACAGGCATTCAGCACCATAGCTGGTATATGTAGTGCTGGGAATCAAACCTATGCAAGCACTCTAGCACTTAAGCTACCTACCCAGGCCCACCCCACTTTTTATTGAGTGCTCTGGATTTCTTCCTTCCTTGATTCCTTCCTTCCTTCTTCCCTCCCTCTCCTACCTTCCTTCCTTTCTTTCTTCTTTAGACAAGATCTCAGGTGGCCTATGTTATCCTGGGATTCAATATGTAGCTAAGGATAACCTTGAACTTCTGATCCTCCTGTTTCTACCCAGAGTACTGGAATTACAAGCACACATCACTATGCTTGTTGTCTA